ACCAACTGACGGGATAACTCGGACCGCGCAGGCAGCCTTAAGTGTTCGTGTGGAGTGGCTCACTGGCGGACTGAAATTCAGGTTGCAGTGACTCCTTCCTAACGTGAATTTTATGGCACTCCCACTTTGTGGGATCCGTGCCAGGTTTGGCGGCACCGGCCGCGCCAGCCTTCTGAGCCTTCTCTCGCCTTCAGTCTTCTTCGCTTGGTCATAACATCAGGCCTAGGTGGGAGAGAATTTTGTTTGAAGAAGATGTTCTTTCGTGATAAAATAACTTTAATGGGTGAATTTTCGAGTTTGGCACTCCAACTCGTCTTCGGACTAACAAGACTAACAAGAAATGTGCAAGGAACAACGAAAATTTCAAAACCGCCGAAAAAATCAATAGTTGTACAAAGTGAGACACGATTGGTCGGTTTGGTCTTAGTTAGTTTCTGACTTGCGGTCTCGGTATTTTCCATTGTTCATTGATATGTTTATAAATACCATCTAACTCAACGTGTCGGTTAATGCATGAATCGTCGGAGTGCATGGCTTCGAGGAATTCTCAGCCACTTTTGGAGTGGCAAACTCCGACGATGCGTGCATTCCAGTTCAGAGAATGTTGTATTTGCCGCACAAATCTAATTCATGTGTAAGTTAGCGCACTTGCTTTCAGCCTGTAGTGGCGCACGTGGTGGACATTGCCGAAACTGACTGTCAAACTGCCTGGAAACAAGGGAATCAAACGGAACAGCAAACGTGTAGGTTACAGAGAAGACTCATGTATAAGAAAGTTCTTGATACCTTCAATGTCACAGATGAAAACTCTAACATTACTGGGATAAGAAAAGAGATATTTCAAATGCAAATCTAATTGCGGTGCCCAACATATAAATTGATAGACAACCTCGTTTATTCTGCAAGCACCAGTTGATGTAGGTGCAAGAGAGAGCGAATTCGGCAGATGACAGTGTCGAAAAAGTTCCGACGAACCAATGGCAGATCGTTTGCAATATATGATAGTGACAGTTAATTACTTAAATGTCCTATTAAACTTCTTGTAAGCCAAGAAACGAAACTCTTGGTTTCCTCATCGACCGTGAGACACTAGCATCAGTTTAATTTAAAAAAGGATACTAATAACATCTACAGCCGCTTTTCTCGACGCTGAGATTACACTAAACGGACAACACCGGTCGGTGTTAATCGCACACATGCACATAGTACAACGTGTAACCCCTTTGAGGAGCTCTGCAAATACATACCAAGTGATCACCTCTGTCTGAAAGACTTGCAGTCAATGAACGACCTCATAAAATTTTAACTGAAATTCTGAAATGTGTCGATTAGGAAAGAGTACTTAAGGGGGTATGTAATATCCGCCCCTTGCGACATAATCTAGTGATATTTCAGAAAGGTCAGGCCGCCTTTTGAATACACTTCTTTTCGGCCTTTTGCGAAAATCGCAGTAAATAACTACGAATTAAGTTGCATGCATTTTTGTTGAATTTCGGCGCCGATAAAAACATTTTAGAGAACGCGTGCCCAAAAATATCCTTCCTTGAAGACATTTGGTAGTAAATCACGTTCACACTTTATACCAGAAAATGGCTATATTACGGTTTTATAAGTTTTCTAATTGAGAGTTTTTTACGGCAGTGTATTTTAATATCATCGTATGCCCCACGCGAAGTTTACAACATAACTCACTTTTAGTGCAAAAGTTTATTAATCCTATGTGGAATCTTGCTAATGACATAGAGGAATCTAGGATTTACCTGTCAAGGAAAGCATACAGCTTGTAGACTGAAAATGGTAGACGCAAATATGAGGTCGGACTCAAAACTATTCGAGAATAAGAAATCTTTTTTCAAGCTTTACCATACCCATTTTTTGAATGCAATGGTTCCAGAATACGTAATTGCTACCAACTGAGTACTAAAGGGATACTTTTAAACATATTTTCTGTAAAAAGAATCAATCTATAAGTACATCGAAAATCAACAGCAAAAAGCATACTACATAGTAGTAATTTTTAGTGAGCGCTGCATTTTCAGGTGGCCAAAAATACATACAATCAAAAGCCGGCATGGTGTCGTGGTTTATACTGTAATATAATAAACATTACAATCACCCAACCCCATTACGTAACCCTTCCTAATGGAATAGACAGCTCAGAATCTTAGTTAATATTTCACGAGACCGGTCACTGGCTGTACGTATACGAAGACAGAGGACCAGTGGTCATTGAACAGCGATGGGATGAAGATCACTTTGACATAAACATTGCCAGCAAAGACAAAGGAGGTTGAAGTGGCTAGAAATGGCCATTAAGTACACTCGTTCACCTATCGCCAGCGGAAGTCACTCGTCCCGCTGTGTCTTGGAGCACTCTCGAGTCCCGCCAGCAGCCGTGCAGCGG